CAGGCACAGAGAAAGAGATTTGCCCGTGATTTTTGTTCTCAGTGAATAACAGGTTTCCCCCAGTTGTTGTTTTTGTTTCCTTTATTATTGCTGCAATATTCCGTCAGACACGGTATTCGTGCCCCAGCACTTACAGCTGTCGTGCTGGATAGTGAATACGGTATAATTTATATCAATATATTTATTTTGCTGTCCTTAATTGTAGAAAAGAGGGTCATACAAAGGTGCAAACACAGAAGTCTTCTCCTCCAAAACCCTAATGAAGTGAGGTAACACAAAGGTGTGTTATTATGTAGCGCTGCCTCATGCTTTTGATGAGGTCAAGTGTCATTGGCAACTGCCTCCGGGACGGGAGGGTGGAAACTTTTCCTACCCACGGGAAAGAGCCACCGTTCTCGGCCGGGAGCCGGGGTCCGAACGTGGGATCGCGCCTCTCGGAATCGCGAACGCCACGGGATTCCTCCTGGACAAAAGTGGCTGGGAAGCAGGGCTGTAGCCGGCCTTGGACTCCCGGGGCCCTCTTCCAAACCGTGTCCAAGGCTATAGGAAAATACTTCCTACCTGTTGAAAAGAGACACCATTCACAGCCAGGTTCTGTTTTTGGATGACTCGCCAGCTGGAAGAGGGAGAGAGAACACAGTTCTGCCTGGTGACGGAAGTCTTTCCTGGTAAGAGATCCGAGAGTACCATTTCAAAGAATAAATATACTGCCTATTTCATATGGCAAATGAGAGAAACAGAGATGTGACATCCTACCACCAAATTCTAAACAACTCAGCAGTGCAGCTGCTGACATTTAGACCCAAGTGCTGTCACCATGTTTTCAGAAAGATCCCCTCAGACTCCCAGGCGAACTCAATACCGGGACTGTGCTGACCACAAAGGCGTTAAATGCATAAGGGAACGTAAAGTATCAATCAGGTGTTTTGGTCAGAGCAACATTAATTAATCCACAAAGAACACTTCCAGGAAAAGCGTGGCCCGGGCTGCTCACATTTTCAGACCGATTACACAACCATTACCCGCGAACTATCCCTTTAACCCTCTGACTCGGCCGACCTCCACGGGCTGCAGGTGTCTCTCTGCCCCCTCTGTGCCCCTGCTTCACCCTGTGTGCCCCCTCTGTGCCCCTGCTTCACCCTGTGTGCCCCCTCTGTGCCCCTGCTTCACCCTGTGTGCCCCCTCTGTGCCCCTGCTTCACCCTGTGTGCCCCCTCTGTGCCCCTGCTTCACCCTGTGTGCCCCCTCTGTGCCCCTGCTTC